ATTCTATTTTCCATAATTTTCTAAGAATAAAAACTATACAGGGTGTCGTAAAAATTTACCGAGCTAGAAATCGCAAACGAGTAGATGCACTTTGTCATTTATAGTCTGCTTTGATTTTTTGACTATGAACAACGAACAAGTAATGAAGGTATCCCACAATATCGAGCATATTAAGGCGAGTTATTCATAAAAACATTTATTAAATAATAAACTCACTGTATAGCTAAACGCAGTGCCTCCATAATGGAGTTAGCCCTGTCGTTGCTTTGAGAAATGTATACATCCGTTACATTGTACACGTTTTAGCGGGGTGTCTGTACACGCTTGGAGTATACCTCTTTTTCCCGCATAAATGTTGATTACCAAATAAACTGAACAACACTAATAGATTTATCGGATAATTTTCTTCTAAATTGCATTTTTTAATTCCGCTTTGCCGAAGAATTTAAATGTCAAAATGTATGGTAGCAACAAAAACACCGTGTTCCCATGAACTATCAAAGTAAGAAACTTTCTACGTCAAATTTTTTTTTATGTTCACTTTTTTAAATGAAATTACTTGATGCATTTCTTTCTTATTTAACATCAATTACCACAAAGAAAACACTCGTTAGCACAAAATGCTATCCATAAACACGACACTTCCTTTTATAATTTTCACAGTAAGTGAGCCACTAAACACAAAGCATATGCCGATGAGAACTCATTGTCTATCTTCCTTCCTTGATACCGATTGTCCTCGACACGAAAATTGTTGCTAGGATAAATCTTTATATCCTGTCTGACGTACTGAACATAACTTTCGAACCACGTTAATAATTGAACGCAAAAAACAACCTTATCAAACTTTAAAGTTGTCTTTACTTCAGATTCGTGATTGTTTGTCTTTGCGAGTCTTGAATGTCATTTCGAATGTCTGCCCTATTATATGTCATTATCACTCGCAGTACATATTCCAATTCGCGTATGTGCCTACCCCCTTGAGACGGTAACAATAACACTCTCGAAATTCATCGCTCTTCTGTCGCATTTTTCCAAACAAATACAGACACGGATAAGAACGAACCGCATCAGCTGCGGAGCGCAGCGACTCACGTTTTACAGCTGCGCACGTTCTCGCCTGCATCCACAGCCGGCACCACTACCAGGGACGAAATGATAGGTATACTATGCGGGTGCCCGTGGCTATGATTTACCGCGATGCGTTTCTTCCTTTCTTCGTTTATTACGTTTCTGCGAGATCTTCTTTAACCAACATAAGCCCGTCCTGATAAGACCTTTATAAACTACAATTTCCACTGATTGATTTGTTCGAATCACGACGGTGAAAATGATTTCCTGTTTATAATTGGACTGAATAGATAAGGGCATTTTTCTGGTAAATATCGTGAATAGATAACACCGACGTGTGCGTTACTTTTCGTGTGTGAGTTTTTAATACGTCACGATTTACGCCAAATGAGCAAGCATAGCGTAAATAGTGCAAGAGTGGATTATTTTGTTATAAAATGTTATGTCGAAGAGCTTGTTACACGCTGCGCGCGGGATAATACGTCCCTGAGTATTGGCGCACCGTCAAGCTTTTACCACGAGAGTGAGAGGAAATGTATAGGAGAAAGCGATGATAAAGAAAGAAAGATACACGCGTCTGCTGAAGGGTAAGGAGGCGCACAGCACCAACGGCGATACAAAGACGGAGAAATGCCTGGTATGCTTGTGCGAGGTACACGGCCACATAGTCGGCTGAATTGTCTACTGCGCAGTCGCCCGTTAAAAGGTGTAGCGGCTGTGATGTGTATGCTTTGCTTACTTACATGCACTTGCTACAGCCGGCCCTCGGACAGCTGTGTGTTTTCTATAGTCACGAATTTCATGTTTTCATAAACTCTCTCATCTATATGCAGCATAACATTCACCTTATAATGTACTTAGAACTTGCTGTCTTTTTCCCCAAGTTTTCACGATTTCACTCGTACTCGATAATTATCTCCGATTAGAAACTTATCGCTTTGTTAAAAAAAGTTATTTCGGTTTACTGCGTATCGGTGGAAAGCAGAATGACAGAAAATTGGAAAAGTTTCGTTAAAGAGTTTACCGAACGTATAAATTTGCCATATGCTCATCTATTGATTTTTACAAACGCTATGTGAATAAACATAAAACGTGGAAAAAACAATATTCGTACAAATATTTGCTTTATGATAAAAAATTCTACTTTCTCTTTGGACTTTATATAACGGCATAGATTTTAGAGAATCAGCTAATTCATTTATAAATCAATTCTCCATTATACAATGTTTTAAAGCGAGGCGTAAATACATATTTTTATCGCCATTTTTATCAACCCCTAAAATGCGAGTCACGTACTATCGTGTTAACTGTGTAAACTTACATACTTGTGTGCGTATACACGTCTCTTAGAAAAGCTCGTCACATACTTACATGAATGGACAGCAGCTCATGAAGCTTCCTTTGATAAATTCAGACGATAATTTATTTTTATACAAGCAATGTATTGGCGCGATATATTATTTATGGCGTCCCAAGGATATTACACAGGCGTGATATGCACACTAACAAAGCACCATGATACAGCAATTCAAGTGCAATAGGATCCTTGGATATTGTACGACTGTTTACAACAGCATTTCCCAGCAAACTATATTCAAATGTCGAGCGTCTGATTTTCCATTACGAACGTAAGACGCCGAAGCATAATAAAACATTTATATATTCCCTCTATTTAGAAGAACCGTACAACGTCAGGGCGTGTAAAAAGGCGTGCACATTAAGATAAAACAGATGCGTTTGCAGATTTTATTTAATAATAGTTGTCACACTTTTTAAATGTAAACAATAGAATTGGCGTGTGCAACAAATGCATCCCCGATACATGTCATGAACCGAAACCGTATTAGTGCTGTATCGCTTCCACGGTGATATCGTATGAACGATATGTTTATCAGTGCGTTAACCCTCGTCAATTTTATGGTCAATGAATATTGTAATTTCGAGAGTCGTGCCGCGCATATGAATTTTTATCTTCTCCGCGCACAATGCTTTAACACACTCTATGTTATTAAATTATCTCGTTAATAGCGTTCGAACGGAACGGTCTCGCGGTGATTATCGCGTCTTTACGTGGCAATTTGACAACAATGACAGGTCAGCGTTCGTTATATCTCACACAGCAAACACCGAAGGTTTTAACACAACTCTTAACACAATCCTCCGTGTACAGTTTCCATCGCGCTCGTATTTCTTCTGTGCAAGCTACTAGAATGACATTGTTTCAGAAGACGAAAGACAAGGATGGCGATATCGATTTCAGACAATGTACGTTAAGCTCCAGCAGGTGGCACGGCCACCGGTCTTCGTCTTTCACGCCACCACTGTTTTTCTCGCAAAATCCCACGAACAGACACGGGACTGAGAAATTCGCGAGACACGAGAAACAGGGGATGAAAACACCCTCGAAACTGTCCTTGCTCGGTTACGCATGCGCGCCACGATTTAGGTCATACATACGTAACAAGACAGATGAGCGCTAGTCGTACACACGTTGCAGGGTTTTCTTTTCTTATTCTATCGAATCAGGATCGTTTTCAAACGGATCCTCGAAAAATAACTATATCCGTGTCGCTCCCCGTTTTAGGCTCTATGCTTTTTCAAGATTGGCAATTGGTCATAGAAACACACGCAATGTAAACATTGACGAGGTCGGGGTAGCAGTGCGCATCCTTGGCCTCGATGTTGGCAATCTTTGAATAAGTGCTAACAGTGGTGTAGCCAGAGGGGTTTACGAAAGGTGTCGTGAACTTCGTAAGATTTCAATCGCGAAGAAATTTCATTGTCGTAGATCGATTAGATATATTTACTATTAAATTTATTTATTAAAAAATTTTTTAAATTGATCGTCGATATCGACGAAGGTTTGAAATAATTTTGAGACATCGTAAAATATCGAAAATTTAGATCTGAGGATGTGTTACTATGTGCAGCATCCTTTTTACTCCTGAAACGATTTTCGATGCACAGAATTTGGGCATGCGCCACTGAATTCAGGTCATTCGACGCTTGACCGAAATTGCGATTGAAGATTTTTTTACTGCATTCTAATTCCAAGGATACCTTTGATTCCTACCGCTCCCTAACTTCACCCGTCGCACGATTACAAATAGAAATAAATTAACAGTGTGATATTTGAAATAAAAATCTTGTAATTTTGTTTTCTCGCAGAATTTTTATTTGATTTTTTTGAATTTTAGTGCAATTACGTAATGTGAAAATTTTAAATAAGGACACGAATTCTAGCGCGAAATACGAAATGAGCAAACTTTAATTCCGTATGAAATAGTATTCTTTATGCACAATAGCAACTGTGCTCGCAATAGATCATGTTTTTCTCCCAGATAAATGTTACATCCCGCCTAAATATTCTATTTAATTGAACGCATTAGATACGTGTGACATTAATTCGTGCATACGAGACGTAAAATTAGTGTCACCTTAAAGTGCATTTGCATAAGCGTAGGACGCGTTGCAGCTTGTGCAACTTAGCATAAATTGCAAGTGCGTGTGCAATTTGAAAAACATCGAAAAATGTGAAACAATAAACGACGCACAAAGAATTGTAAATCAATAAAAAAAAAAATTGAAAACAGATCGTTCTGTAAATTGATCCTTTGCAAAACACAACAAAGCAACTTCTCCGGTTATTAATTTCAGGCACGTTTGTTTCGTCTCTCGTTCAGTTTACGATTTTACTTCAAGGATTCTCGCGTTCTTATTTTTTTTTAATTTTAATATTCCCTTCACTCTTAGTTAACGCTAAAGAAATATTAAATAATATTTATCATAAATGGAAATGATTTATTTCAAAAATTGTATTCCTTCAAAAATCACATGTATAAAAGTAAACGTAATCCGTCCAGTAATATTCACTTCATCGTAATTGAATTAAATTCAATCATCTCTCTAACTCTTATTTTCAGCGTGACCCCTGATCCAGTCAACATAACTGTAGACACGGGTGAAGACATCCGGTCGACCTCTTGCACACGGTATTCCCCAGGATACTACACCGATCTGTTCGTTGTCGGCGACCAAAGGACCGCCAGAATCACCCTGTTAAAAAAATCAATAACAATACACATAAATATCACATTTCCATAATTATTTAACGCAAAGAAAAAAATTGCATTCTTCGGTAATTTGGTAAAATAATTATTACGTAATTACAGATATTCCTACGTTACAAAATTCTGTATCGCAAAAACAACGTAGAAATGTAATATTCGATTGATCGAAGTGGAAAGTATCGATACGTTTCGTTCGAGGAAGGAGGATAAGAAGAATGGGATTCCCCCGTTCGATTGTAAGGAGAAAGTAAGTTAAGGGCGCACGCGATACATCCCGCGTGTACTTTAGAGTAATTCTTTCAGACTAGGTGAGTGGAACGGAATGGTGTTCACTGTTACGCTCTCGTCGACACGGTTTTCGCGACGGACTACAAATAAGAAAAAAAAGAAAAAGAAAGTGCCGCTTTAGTTGAGGGATCCTTTGACGTGAAAGGGCCCTCTTCTCGAGTGCTCGACTAGACGTGAATGCACTTACGTGACAAGCGCCTTCACCCCTCTTGTTAAGTGTGCAGATATTGTCGTCGGTGATGCGAAAGCTAGCGTTTAAACATTCTTTCTGATCGATCACGCTCAGTTGAATGTGATAGAGCTCGTTTGGTGTCTGTCCAGGATACTTTTGGTCGTTAGTGTGTAATTAGTACGCACGTTTAATGAAAAAACGAAAAATTACAACGATATAAGTAACATGGTTTTTATAATATAGAAAATTGACAAATTTATGTATGAAAAAGAGTTGATGCTTACGCTTGTGGTTCCCCAACCGGATAATACAGCAGGATAATCCACTTTACTGAAGTTCTCATTCGGTAACGAGATAGGCTTCACTTTGTCACCGAAAACAATGTCTTTACTTAACTTGATCAATCCAATATCGTTTCTGATCAATGCAGAACTGTACTTTGGATGACCAATTACTTTTTCAGATTGATATTCGTCGCCACCATTGTCCAGAGTGTTCGAACCTAACACGACGGCTATTGCTGTGTCATTGAAACTGAAATGATATATTTATAGCTGTAGAATGGGTAATAAAAATTTTTATTTGTTTTTTCGGCTGGAATATTACTAGCGTTAACCTTGATAAACAATGAGCGGCTGTTAGGATCCATCTTTCGTTTAACACCGATCCTCCGCAGAAATGACGGTTTTTAAAACGAAGCGAAGCTTGATAAGGATACAGTCCATCCTCTGCCACGGAACCACCCACGATTTTTGGAACTTCGCTTATACTTGCGGCTGTATTTGATAATTTGAAGGAATACGTTTAATTTAATTTTAAGTTTATTGAATTTAATTTTAATTTAATTTGTAATTTGACTGGAAATAAACGAATTTACATCGTATATTATTTTTTCTATTGAAATTAAATGAA